CACTGGGGGCCGCCGCTGCCCGCCGCGCCCCACCGGAGACACCGGGGCGGGGACCTGGGTACCCGCAGGGGCTCGGCGCACTTCTCCAGCCTCGAGTCCGAGGTATGACGCGGCCCCGGGGGCCCCACGCCCCCTCGGTCAGCGCAGGCCACGGCCCGAGGGGGCACGCGCAGTGGACAGGACCCACGTGGGTTGGGAAGGGAAAAACTGGAACTGGCCGGACCCCGCCTGGAGCAGCGTCCTGCGCCCCCAGTTTGGGGGCACAGCTAGGCGGAGGGGATTTGGTCCCCCAAATCTCACCCAGTCTGGGAGTGAGGAGGCGGGGTCTCGGAGCCCACTGGACCTTTTTTTAAACCCGACAAGGGCTTTTTAACGTCACCAGATGGGGCGGGAGGTGGGGGGGGGTCACGCCACGTCCGCGCCCCACCCCCACGCCCGGGGCTGTGGCCCCCACATCACTGTGCAGCTCCCCGGCCCCAGCCACGCCTCCGGGGAAGCCCGTTTTTAACCTTTCATCCATCGGGACTCAAAACTGTGAGACGCGTTCGCCAAACTGTGACCCCAGACCTTGGCCCCGCCACACAGAAATCCCTGACCCCAGACTGTGACTTCCGACCCCTAAAAATGGGCATCCGACCCCAGACTGTGACCCCTGACCCCAAACTGTGACCCGAACCCCAGACTGTGCCCCGACCAGACTCAGACCTTTGACGTCAAACCGTGACACCCCTCCTCCTTTTCCACCCTCGGTCGCTTTTCCCTGTTTTGACCCAGGACACGCCCCCAACGGAAGCCCCGCCTCCCCCTGCCCCAGCGTTGATCCCGACCTCCAACCGGCCAAAACTTCCCGCCCTGTCGCACCTCACTCCCAGCCCCAGGTGCCACATCCTCTCCAAATCCAACCCTTATTTACGACCCTTCAGTGATGACCCAGCAGACCCCCCCAAAAGCCTCCTCTTCCCAGATCTCCAGCCGGGTCTGGAGCTGCGTTGTGGAGCGGAGGGTTTGGGAGTCCACACTCACCACCAACCTCCCTTCCCACTCTTCTGTTCCACACTGCAGTGTTTGGAATAAACCATGTTTTTATGCCTCCTCAGTCCAAGTGTGAGCTCCGTGTCTGTCTCTTAGGCCCCCCTCAAACTTCTCTGGAGGAAACAGAAAAGTCCCACAGAGAAAGAGGGGGCAGAAAGAGAATTAGAGCGAGAACAGAGACTCTGGAGGGAGGTGAGAGACAAAGACTCAGAAACAGATGGCCAGAAAAGGCCCTAAGAAGAGAAGCATTGAGAAGGGGCAAGGGTAGACAGAGACCTAGAGAGAAGGGGGGACAGAGAACTCAAGAAAGATCCAGGATCAAAACACTTTAGGATCAAGCCTAGGGTCCCATTCCCATGGCTTGCTGGATTCTTAATATCCTGTTCATGCAAGCGAGGAGGGTGTCTAATATATCCCAGCCAATCCACATATCTTAGTGCCGTCTATCTCACCAATGAGAATCTATTTCTAATATTTCATTACACCTATTAGCCAAACCTCTGGTGCTGACGGGCGATAAAGAGAGTCGAAGCACTTGTAATAGCTGCGTCCAGAGGGTGGACTTTCTGATTAAGTGCTCGCTGACCATAGCTGCAATGTGAACGCCTGGTTAGGCAACTGACTGCCCCTAAACGGTAGATTCAACCGTCTAACTTACATGTAATATCATCCTGTCTACACTCAAGCATTCTGAAGTAAATTAAAGCCATCATAAGCAGGGGAGCAGAAACCGGCTTTATGGGTCCTCAGGGAGCAGAAACCCAGTCTCCTTGCCAGTAAGAGCTCTTATTTGCATACATGAATAGTTAATTAGGTGGAAAGAAAGCACTGGCAGTCAAAGGTGGAAGATGGAGTCGGGGCTCAGAACTCTAGTTGATGGGGAAACCGGACTCCTGCAGAACTACAACTCCCAGGAGGCTTTGCCGCTGCTGCGCGGAAGAGCGCTCCAAAGTCAGGCGGCTGGTGTAGCGTCTCCGCATCTGCAGGCCTGGGTCGCTAGGCCAGGACGACGTTACCTTAGTTCTCCTTCACCGTCTCCCCACCGCCCTCTCTAATTGGTGAACCAGGAGGTTTCCAAGGTAACTGCGCAGCCGGGCGGCTCTCAGCGCGTGGAAAGCGCAACCCGGAAGTGACGCTATTACTTCGCGCCGGCGGTGAGAGAGTTCGAAGATGGCGGCGCGCAAGGGTCGGCGGCGCACGTGTGAAACTGGGGAGCCCATGGAGGCTGAGTCCGGCGACGCAGGGTCCCAGGGCCAGGCCCAAGTCTACCTGCCCGGCAGGGGACCGCCGCTGCGCGAAGGAGAGGAGCTGGTCATGGACGAGGAGGCCTACGTGCTGTACCACCGAGCGCAAACTGGTAGGGCTGGGCAGCAGGACTTCTGGGTCCTGCGGAAAGAGGGGACTGGACTCTTGGGTCCTGAGGGGCTCTGGTCCTGAGCCTTAAACTTATGAGGCGCTTTGAAAGAGAAAACGGGGGTCTAGGAGGAGTGACATCACACTCGAGGGGGCTGAGATCTCTCCGTCCTGTCCTAATTTTCCAGCCCCTCCTTCCATCCCCAGGCGCCCCCTGTCTCAGCTTCGACATAGTCCGGGATCATCTGGGAGACAATCGGACAGAGCTTCCTCTTACCCTTTATCTGTGTGCTGGGACCCAGGCGGAGAGCGCCCAGAGCAACAGGTGAGTGAGGCTTTCCCAGGACCAGGAATCCAAGTCTCCAGCCTCTTACTGCCTCAAGGCCCAGGAGTCTGAGACTCCGGCTCCCCCTTCCCCAGGACCCAGGAGGGAGGGCTTCCAGCTTCTGCCTCCCTGAGACCCGGAAGTTGGGATTTCCTGCCTCCTCCTCCGCAAGGATCCTGGCATCCAGTATCTCGCTCACACCACACTTCCCCCCAGACTAATGATGCTCCGGATGCACAATCTGCTTGGGACGAAGCCCCCGCCATCAGAGGGCAGCGATGAAGAGGAGGAGGAGGAAGACGAAGAGGATGAAGAAGAGCGGAAGCCTCAGCTGGAGCTGGCTATGGTGCCCCACTATGGCGGCATCAACCGAGTTCGGGTGAATAACAGTCCCAAGAGTCTGCTCCACATTCTCTGGAGCAGCTGAAGGGCATGGACCCCCACGTCCATGCCCTTCAGCTTTTGGAAGATCACCTGGCACATAATTTTATATATTAGTGTATAGGTATTTTAGCTGCTATGATCGTTACTATGGGCTAGATACTATGAGGATGCTTTTTGTGTACTTTCCTTTCCTGTAACGTGGTGAGAGTTATAAAACTTACCGATGGGGCTGATGTGAGGATAAAATGAAGTAATATGGTTATTTCAGATGCCTAAAAACAGCACTTGTAGTGTGAGATGTTTTCTGTTATTGCTTACCAAGTGTTCTGGGCTGGGGGAGTTACTTTTGTGCTTCAGAGTTATAGCATCTTCTGATCAGGTTGATGTGCAATTTAAATGAGGTGATGTATGAATTTAGAGCAGTGCTTGGCCCATAGTTCTTGTTGTGTGTTTCCATTAAAGTATTACCGTGTTAAAGGTACTGTTCTAGACCCTGGGGATTTAACAGTGAGCAAAAGGTCTGTGGCTCTGTGAAACTTGTATGCTAGTGGGGAAAGGAACAAGAAGAAACAAAGTTAATGTGTAGTATGTCCAAAAGTCCTAAGTGTTACGGAGAAAAATAAAGCAAAGTAAAGCAGTTACGGAGTTCCTGGGTGGGGTTGCTATTTTAAATAGTGTGGTCAGGGAAGTATTCACTGGTAAGGTGCCATTTGAACAGAGACCCACAGCAAGTGAGGCAGTGAGCCAAGGATATCTGTGGGGCAGAGTTATAGGCAAGGGAAACGCAAGTGCAAAGGTTCTGGGGTGCGTTTGGCATGTTTGAGGAGTTTTGAGGGAAGCTGGGGAGACCAGTGCATCTGGAGCAGAATGGAAGAAAGGGAAAGTGATGACATTTGGTGAGTAGGCATGGAGGAGACAGATCATTTAGGGCCTCATACTTGTAAGGACTTGGCTTTTATTTGGAGAAGTTGGGAGTCATTGGAGGGCTTAGACTAGAGGGCAGATGGGAGCTGACTTGTGTTTTCAAGGGATCCTGCTGGCTGCTGTATTGAGAATAGACTGCAGGAAGGCAAGGGCAGAAGGACAGAGTCCTGGGAGGAGACCGGTATGGTAATTCAGGGGAAGGATGACATCAGTAGTAGCCTGAGTGATGGCAACAGAGGTGGCGAGAAGGGTTGGAAGTGGTGCAATTTCAGTGTAGCCAGTAGAGCTGGTGGGGATGAGGAAGACAAAACAAGTCGGGAACAAGTTCTGCAGTCTGGGTCCTGAGGTGGGGAATACCAGGGAGGAGGAGGGTGCAGTCAGTGATCAGGAGCTTGACTTTGGTCTCGTGAAGTTCGAGTGGACGAGTGGTTTCGAGTGCGATATGAGTCTGGGGTTCAGAAGAGAGCTCAGGGTTAAAGGCTCCTGGAAACCTTGAGGCTGAACAGGATACGTACAGAGGCACAGATCTGAGGACTGAGGCCTGTGACCCTCTGACATTTAGAGGGTTAGAGAGACCAGGAGTCTGAACACACTCCTGGGGGCTAGTGGGAATTGAAGCCTCGATAACCAGGAGCCTGGAAGGAGTTGTGACCTCCCACCAACACTACCTCTACCGCAGAGTCGGGAGTTGTCCCAGGTACCAAGCTGGTCTTGTAGGCTAAGATGCCTTTCCTGGAAAGATTTCTGGGAGTTGTAGTCCCAGCCCTGGGGGATCTGAGGAACCACAGTTCTGGTTCTCAGGGATGCTAGGAGCTGTGGTCGCCACCCTGAGCCTCCTGTCCCTCCCACCTAACCTCCCTCTTTGCTGCTCCCCCCTGCAGGTGTCATGGCTGGGTGAGGAGCCGGTGGCTGCGGTATGGTCAGAGAAGGGCCAGGTGGAGGTGTTCGCGCTGCGGCGGCTTCTGCAGGTGGTGGATGACCCCCAGGCCATGGCGACCTTCCTCCGGGATGAGCAGGCCCGAGTGAAGCCCATCTTCGCCTTTGCTGGCCACATGGGCGAGGGCTTTGCACTCGACTGGTCCTCCCGTGTGCCAGGTAAGTCCCCGGGGTGGGACTTGGTCCTGCGGGGTGGGAGGGAACAGGGTCCCCAGCAGGGGTGGGTGCTAAGACTCCACAGAGGGGAGTGAGCTGTGGCCAGCTGGGACCAGGCAGCGTCCTGACTCCCTTCCCCAGGGCGCCTGCTGACTGGTGACTGTCAGAAGAACATCCACCTCTGGACGCCTGCGGATGGCGGCTCCTGGCACGTGGACCAGCGGCCTTTTGTGGGCCACACACGCTCCGTGGAGGACCTACAGTGGTCCCCAACTGAGGACACGGTGAGGGAGGGCTGGGGGCCTGGACTCCTGGGTCTTGGGGGAGGAGGGGGCTGGGAGCAGGTCCTAGTGAGGGGGACACTAAAAGAGAGGGTCGCCCACCACTAGTCCCTGGTCTGCAGGGTGGGGTGGGGTACACTGGGGTCACTCAGACTCTGCCTTGTCCAGGTATTTGCCTCCTGCTCAGCGGATGCCTCCATTCGCATCTGGGACATCCGGGCAGCCCCCAGCAAGGCCTGCATGCTCACCACCGCCAGCGCCCACGACGGGGACGTCAACGTCATCAGCTGGAGTCGCCGGGAGCCCTTCCTGCTCAGCGGCGGGGACGACGGGGCCCTCAAAGTCTGGGACCTGCGGCAGTTCAAGGTACTCACCCAGCCTCTAGGATTTGTGGCTTTCCCTCCTGAGATGGGAATGCCCTTCGAACTGAGGTCCAGGCCCTTCAGGGTGCAGATGAGGAAAGAGGCTCAGCAAGAGGAGGGCGTGTGGCTGGTATGGAGTCGCTCGCTCTGCCAGCAGGAGCGTTGACAGGAGACAGAAGAGGCTGAGTGGCGGCAGAGACTACAACTCCCATCTGCCCCTGGGAGAGCCGTGCAGCCAGCTGTGCTGCCCAGGGGCTCAAGTGCTTCAGGGAGTTGTAGTTTTTCTTTTAGTGGCTTTTATAGAATCCGCTGAGAATTGGAGCCCACCTCACTCATCGCAGGAGAGGAAACTGAGGCACAGAAAGGACAGGAGCAGATAGGACGTAACAGCCCAGCTAAGAGTTCACTCTGTGGGGCTGTGGGCAGAAGTTGCAGCTTCTGGCTTTACTCTGGACAAAGCTGTCATTTCATATGGCACCATGCCTTTCTAGGACCACTATGTTGTAATTTCTTTTTCTCCTCCATAGTACTGGATTCTATAGAATCAGCCCTGGGGAGGCTTCTAGAAATAGATTCCAGCCCCGAAGGCAAGGCAGGTGTGTGGCCAGGTCACATGGAGGAGTTGATTGACCATTGGAACTTTGGAGCCACCTCTCCAAATTAGAGAGACTCCAATCCCCAGCAGCACTTTTTCTGTAGCCAGAGTGCCTTTGTTCTTTGCTCCCTCTCTGGAGCCGGGGAGTCGTGCTTCTGCCCCCTCTAAGGCCTGCACAGAATCAGAGGGGAGAGCACATGGAGAGCCACCTTTCCCTTTTATAGGAAGGGAAGCTAAGGCACGCCCAGGGAGAAGAAGGGGTGGGGATTTTGTGACCTGGAGCTGGGAAGGGCTTGTCTGCTAGTGAAATCACTGATTCGCAGCCCTTGGGCCGTCACACCTTTATTACCAGCTGTGCTTCGCCCTCCGTCCCTTTCAGAAAATCTGGGCTTGTGGGGGCATGAGTGGGGGAGCTCTGATTGAACCTTAAGGCTGGAGAGGGGTAGGGGGCTCTGCCTGGGTCACCCCAGGAGTCAAGCCGAGGTGCTCAGAGCCCCTGACGCCCATCTTCCTGTAGAATGGCTCCCCCGTGGCCACCTTCAAGCAGCACGTGGCCCCCGTGACGTCCGTCGAGTGGCACCCCCAGGACAGTGGGGTCTTCGCAGCCTCGGGTGCAGACAACCAGATCACACAGTGGGACCTGGCAGTGGAGCGGGACCCCGAGGCGGGCGACACGGAGACCGACCCCGGGCTGGCGGACCTCCCCCAGCAGCTGCTCTTCGTGCACCAGGGCGAAACAGACCTGAAGGAGCTGCACTGGCACCCGCAGTGCCCTGGCGTCCTGGTTAGCACCGCCCTGTCGGGCTTCACTGTCTTCCGCACCATCAGCGTCTGAGGCGCCCCGCGGCATCTGGCCTGGCCTTCCACTTGGGAACTGAAGATGAGGTTGGTTCCCCTGAGGGGACTCATTCAGATCTGTTGACCAGCCCCACTCCAAAAGAAGGGCTTAGTTCGGCCCATTGGCCGCCATGATGGATTCTCTTGGCCTTACTCTTCTTTGAAAGGACTTGGTTTGGCCTGATGACCCCCTTGCCAAAGGATATAGTTTGACCCGTGACTCTCTCAAACTACTTGGTTTGGTCCTGTGACCCCGCCTCCTCCAACCAAAGGACTTGGTTTGACCCAAGGCTCTGTAAAACCACTGCCTTTGAGTCCAGTGACCCCTCCCACCCAAAGACTTGGTTTGGCCCAGTGCCCCCCCCTCACCACCACCACCTGTCAGAGGACTCCGCTGGCTGTTTCCCAGGTGGGCCTGGTGTGGCCTGTGTTGCTGTGGATATTCTGTCAGCTGTGGCACCTGGCTTGACCCTTTGACCTCTCTGCCCCAAGACCCAGCTTTGGCTGCTGGTCTCCCCCAGGGAACTCATTGCTTTACAATGGCTGGACCAAATTTGAGAGGTGGGTTCCTCCAGCAGAATTTGGTTTTGCCCTTTGTGTTCCTGCCAGCTGGGTGGGCCCGGACTTCCCAGTGGGGGCTGTGTGGGGTCTTCTCTGCTCCCTGTGCCAAAGACAGGCGCTCTGCAGGGAGGAAGGGGGGCGCTCCTGAGAGGCAATAAAGGACCAGAATGAGGCCTGATGTGTGTGAGATTCGTCCTGGCCACTTCGCTGTGAGGAAACGGGCAGAGGAGGCAGCAATCTGTCCCTAGGCCTCTGGGCTGGGAGAGGCCACTGGGAGTCCCTGCCCCATGCAGTCCAACCCTCAGCCCACTGGGTGCTCTCCAGTTCTGCCTTCCCCAAATTCTATTCCATCTGGAACTCACTCCCGGTCTCTCACCTGTGCCCCCCCAACTTTTTAAGGCTTTGTCTCAGGGGGAACCAGGGAGCCCTCCATGTCTCTATCCTTCCCTGACTGTCCCTTATCATTATCTCACCATTTCTTTGTTCCCTCATCTGTGTCCCCATCTTCCTGTGTCTCCTGGCCCCCTCCCCCTTCTGTGTCTCTCCTCCGCCACCGGCTCCTCTCCAGCCTGCTTGGGCTGTGGCCCAGCCATCCTGCCTGGCCGTCCTCCCTGGCTCCCCCTCTGCGGCTCTGAGCTGGCCCCACCCCCTGCCCCCCCTCCGGCCAGGCCTCTGATCCGCCTGTGGACACAGAGGTCGGGCATCCCCAGCACAAGGCCCCTGGGGCTGAGGACAGACCGCAGCCCCTCAGCACCACAGAGGCCTCCCCTTGGCCGGAGCAGAGGAGCCCCCGGTGGAGGACATGGGGGTGGGCTGCCCCACCAGGTACGTGCCCCCATGCAGGGCCCTGGGAGCAGTCCTGGCCTTGAGAGCCATCCTACCTCCTGCACCCCCATCCTCCTAGCTCAGCCGTCTCTGCCTCAACATCCCGCATCCTCACTGTCCCCCCTCAGGGAGGTCCTGTCTTACCCTCAGTGACAGATTCCAGCCCCAGAACAATCTCTCCCCCCAGATCTGGTGCCTCTAACTCTGACATCATCTCCATTTTCTGCCTCCCCCCATCCTCCCTCAGTGAGAGCCTCTCTTCCTTGCCCCATCTCTGTTTTCCATCTGTCTATTTTCCCAACTCTGTCTCCCCGTCATTCCATTTCCTAAGACACGATCTCCACTTCTCTTTCCCAATTGGCTCCTAGTCTGCCTGTCTCTTTTCTGTCCTCTTCTTCTCTCTGGATCTCTATTCCCGTCTCTGAGTCTCTGTCCCCCTCTCTCTGGGTCTCTGTCCTCCTCTCCCTCTGGGTCTTTGCCATCTCCCCCCCACCCATCTCTGTCCTTCCCTCTTTCTCGGAGCTCCCTCTCAGCACCCCTCTCTTCGTGCCCACTCGGAACCTCTGTACCCTTGTCTTTCTTCAGTCTGTGCCCCGCCTCCTGTCTATCTCTGCCCTCCAACCTGCTGCCCAGACCCCATGTGTAGGTGGGGGAGGGGGGACACCCAGGGTCTGGGGGAAGTGAAAGTGCTTCTTTAGGGAAGGGAGGTTGGGGCCGGGGGCAGGGCTTCTTGGCCCAGATTAGACAGTGACTTTGACATGAAGTTGCTGCACCTTAAGCCCCGGGTCTCCTTTATATGGAAACATTAAGCTGCTCTCGCAGGTCAGGGGGAAGAAGGGGGAGGACTTCAGGCTTCGGATCCTTTTCCCTCCTGTCCTGCCTTTGCGGGGGAGGGGTGGTGCCCTGAGCCCAAGTCACATCCAACCCTGTGAGCTGGGCCATGTTGGACACAGACAGGGCCCCCTGGAGGTGAAGACCCCAGTCGGCTTTGTGAAATGGACATGGTATCATCTGCCTCACAGGGCTGAGAATGGGACTCAAGGATTTAGGAGGAGAGTCCTGGGTTGGGAAGGCTCAGGACCAAACAGACACCCCACCCCCGGCACCGCGTGGGTCTGGCTGGGTCTCTGAGGCTGTTCCCCAACCTGTGAAACAGCGATGGATGATCTGGCCCTCCCAGTGTCCTGAACAGTCAGGGTGTGCGGCAGGGTCTGGTGGAGTGCAGTGGGCGGGCTGCAGACATCGGTGAGCTCCTTACGAGGCCCGGGACCTAGTAGGTGCTCAGGAAACAGGAGCGCACCTGTTAGGGTCGTCCGTGGTTCGTCACTCAGGCTTGGGCACCGAGAAGCCCAGGTGGGAGTCCAGGGTTTCCCACCTTCCGGCTGAGGGACGTGAGACAAGGGATGGGCCTCACCGCCTCAGTTTGCTTTAAAAAAAAGCAAAGTCCCCACATCCAAGAGCTGTGGTTAGAGACGGGGAGAGGGTGTGAGGAGGCCCAGCCTGGGGGCTCAGTGTGATCGCTGCAAAGGTAGAGGCTGGAGCCTGGATTCTGACCTCAAACCTGCCCCCTTCAGCATTGAGCCTCAGTCTCCCCTTTTTAGAAGAAAAGATCTCTAATGCCCAGGGTTGTGAGGATGAGAAAAGAGTCAAGGTTGGGGCACATCATGGGCGCTGGACACAGCCAGGCCCAGTCCACCCTGACCTGAGCCGCAGCTCTGCCTCTGTAGAGTGGGCGTAATAGACCCCACGTGGCAGAGCTGTCCAGGTGGTCGTGAACAGCAGGTGCAGAGCTGGGGGTCAGGGAGGGGGCCCAGTGGTGTTGAACTTGACGTCGACTGAATGCCTTCTCCTTGGATTAAGTGCCCCCAGTCCTGCCAAGAAGCCCATGAGGATCTGCAGGGCCTGGCACAGGGGGCACCGAGTACGTAGGTGCTTGGTAAATATTGATGGAAGTGATACACAAAATATTTAACCCCCAGCCCAGATAGATCCTGGAAGTCCCTCCACCACAGGGCTGGATGGTAATAACCCTGCAGCTGCTGGTGGATGATGAGGCCTGTAGGTCCACGCCCACCCCCTTCCCTCCACCTTTCCTCCACCCTGTCCGGATTCCCTCCATCGCCCAGATGGGGGAACAGAGGCTCGGGAAGGGATGAGACTTGCCACCAGTCATACAGCTAGTAAGTGGCCAAGCCAGGATTCAACCTGGAGCTGCCTGATTCAAAAGCCCAAGGTCTTGGGCCGGCCCTGTGGCTTAGCGGTTAAGTGCGCACTCCGCTACTGGCGGCCTGGGTTCGGATCCCGGGCGCGCACCGACGCACCGCTTGTCTGGCCATGCTGAGGCCACATCCCACATACAGCAACTAGCAGGATGTGCAACTACCACATACAACTATCTTGTGGGGCTTTGGGGAGAAAAAAGGAAAAAATAAATAAATTAAAAAGAAAAAAGCCCAAGGTCTTTCTTCTGGGTCCCTCTTCCTTTCAAAGTGAGGGTTTTTAATGCCCATTCAACAGATGAGCAAACTGAGGCTCCAGAAAAGGAAGCCAGTGGTCTCAGGGCACATAGTGGGTCAGCAACTGAGCCAGGATTGGGCCCCAGGGTCTGTATGACTGGAAGGCCTTTCCTGACCTGGAGAAAGAAGTCCAATTTCTCCATTTTTACAATCAAGGAAACTGTGGCTCAGAAAGATTTGCCCAAGATCTGAGGGTCAGGGCTGAGCCAGGGTTTTTTTGTGTGTTTGTTTTTGTTTTTTCGAACAGCTTCATTGAAATATAATTCACATACCATATAATTCACATATTAAAGTGTACAATTCAATGTTTTTTAGTATATTCACAGAGTTGTGCAACCACAATCAACTTTAGAACATTTTCAGCACCCCAACAAGAAATCCCATGTCCTCTGGCTATCACTGCCCAATCCCCCTCTCTCCCCAGTCCTAGGCACCACTGGTCTATTTTCTCAATTTATAGATTTTCCCATTCTGGCTATTTCTTGTAAATGAAAATATACAATATGTGATCTTTTGTGACTGGCTTCTTTCATAGCATGAAGTTTTCAAGGTTCATCTATGTTGTAGCATCTGTCAGTACTTCATTCCTTTTTATTGCTGGGTAGGAGTCCCTGGTGCGGATATACCACATTTTATTGATCCATTTATCAATTGATGTACATTTGGGTTGTTTCCATCTTTTGGCTATTGTGAATAACGCTGCTACAATCATTTGTGTATAAGTATTTGTGTGGACACTTGTTTTTACTTCTTTTGCGTAGATATCTAGGAGTTGAATTGCTGGGTCCTATGGTAACTCTACATTTAACCATTTAAGGGACTGCCAGACTGTTTTTCACACCAGCTGCACAATTTTATATTCCACCAGCAGTGTATAAGATTGCCAATTTCTCCATATCCTTGCCAACACTTGTTATTTTATTTTTTCTTTTGTTATTGCCATCCTAGTGGGTGTGAATTGGTATCTCACTGTGGTTTAGATTTGCCTTTCCCTGCTGGCTAATGATGTGGAGCATCTTTTCATGTGCTTATTGGCTATTTATATATCTTTCTTGGAGAAATGTCTATTCAGATCCTTTGCCTATTTTTAAATTGGGCTTTTTTTTTTTTCTTTTTTATGCTGAGGAAGATTTGCCCTGAGCTAACATCTGTGCCGGTCTTCCTCTATTTTGTATGTGGGTCACCACCACAGCACGGCCCCAAACAAGCCTTGTAGGTCCACAACGGGAACCGAACCCAGGCTGCCAAAGCAGGGCACACTGAACTTAACCCCTAGGCCACAGGCCAGCCCCAGGTTTTCTTATTATTGAGTTGTAAGGGCTGTTTATAGATTTTAGAAACAAATTCCTTCTCAGATACATGATTTGCAACTATTTTTGCCCTTTGATGGATTGTCTTTTCAGTTTCGTGATGGTGTCCTTCAAAGCACAAAAGTTTTTAATTTTGATGAAGTTCAGTTTATCTACTTTTTTTCCTTTTGTTGCCTGTGCTTTCTGAGCCTATTTTTGAACCATAGGTGACCTCAGAGCCAGGCTCATCTCTCAAAGCTGACTCCATGCTGGGAAGCAGTTAACTACATAGTAGACTCTGAATTTGCTAGCACTCAAATCCCAGTTTACTCAGCTGTGACCTTGGGCAAGTTAAACACTCTGGGCCTCAGGTTCCTCATCTGTAAAATGGGGGTAATAATGTCTACCTTGCTGTGAAGCTCAAACATGTCAATTCACATAATCCGCTCAAAACAGTGTCTGGCACTGTATAAATGTCAGCTCTAATTACTGTGGTGCTTGCTATAACGCTGTTGTTATGGCTACAGTTTTGTTGCTGTTGTTGCTATACAGTATCTCCCATAGTAGTATTGTCATGGTTGTTGATGGGTGCTGTTCTGACTTTCTAGATGAGTATCCTTCCACCCATTTGCCAGATGAGGCCGCTACGGCCCAGGGAGCATGCCTGCTTGAGAGGTCCACCCATTCCCGGCCCCCCTGACGCTGCTGCTCGTTTCTTGTCCCCGCAGGTTTGGGGCGCCCGCCCCCCACTAGGCCAAGTGGAGGGGGTGCCCCCACCCAATGGGCCTGGCCAGGGCCCTGCGCCGCCTAAGCGGCGCCCTGGAGTCAGGAGAGAGCCGGGCGGTCGATGAGGAGGAGGCCGGGCCGGGGCTGTGCCATAACGGGTGGGCGCCGCAGCCGGTGGGACGCCGGCGGGGGCGCTTCGTCAAGAAGGACGGGCACTGCAACGTGCGCTTCGTGAACCTGGGCGGCCAGGGCGCGCGCTATCTCAGCGATCTGTTCACCACGTGCGTGGACGTACGCTGGCGCTGGATGTGCCTGCTCTTCTCCTGCTCCTTCCTCGCCTCCTGGCTGCTCTTCGGCCTGGCCTTCTGGCTCATCGCCTCGCTGCACGGCGACCTGGCCGCCCCGCCGCCGCCCGCGCCCTGCTTCTCGCAGGTGGCCAGCTTCCTGGCCGCCTTCCTCTTCGCGCTGGAGACGCAGACGTCCATCGGCTACGGCGTGCGCAGCGTCACCGAGGAGTGCCCGGCCGCCGTGGCCGCCGTGGTGCTGCAGTGCATCGCCGGCTGCGTGCTCGACGCCTTCGTCGTGGGCGCCGTCATGGCCAAGATGGCCAAGCCCAAGAAGCGCAACGAGACGCTCGTCTTCAGCGAGAACGCCGTCGTGGCGCTGCGCGACCGCCGCCTCTGCCTCATGTGGCGCGTGGGCAACCTGCGCCGCAGCCACCTCGTCGAGGCCCACGTGCGTGCCCAGCTGCTGCAGGTGCGGGTCGCCGGGGTGGAGGACCGGGGCCCCGGGAGGCAGGGCGGGGCCCTTCGTGGGGCTGGCGGGAGCCCTGGGGGGTTGTGGGAGATGTAGGCCTGAGGGCGAGGTGTGCGTGGGACCTGGAGGGTGCGTGGACTACAATTCCCAGCAGTCTCTTGGGCAGGGGCCCTCCCGCCCCGCTTCTGGACAGAGGCTGGTTGGGGGAGCAGTTGTAGGAGATGTAAACCAAAGAGAGAAGTCTGTGACCTCTTCATTTCTTCTTGGAGGCCTAGACTTGAAACAGATCTGGAGACATAAAGAGCTTCCTGTGGCTTGAGGATCGGCCCTCTATGGGATTGTGGGAAATCTAGACCTGAGAGGGCCACACCTGGGCTGTAAAGGCTCCGAACTACAATTCCCAGAAGCCTCCGGGGGCAGAGACAGTGCCCAGATGGGGTGGTCTGAGGAGATGATGTAGGTTTGGGGGTGGTGTAAACCACGGCTCAGATTTACGATTCTCAGCTGACACTGTGGTACAGAGAATGGACTATGACTTGAGGCAGGCCCCTATGGGATTGTGGGAGATGTAGGCTCGAAGATGGGTGCAGCTCGCACCTGCAGAAACGTGAACACAATTCTGCATGACCTCTGGGCATGGGGGTCCTGCAGCATTTGTGGGAGACTTCATTCGCTACCTCAGTGGCCCAGTCTCTCCCACCAGGGTCTTGCTTGCAGTAGTACAGGGCAGGGGTTGGGAAATGCTTGAATTTTAACTTCTGAGCAAAAAGCAAAAAACAACTACGAGGGCTGGCCCCGTGGCTTAGCGGTTAAGTGCGCACACTCCGATGCTGGCAGCCTGGGTTCGGATCCCCGGCGCGCACTGACGCACCGCTTCTCTGGCCACGCTGAGGCTGTGTCTCACATACAGCAACTAGAAGGATGTGCAACTATGACATACAACTATCTAGTGGGGCTTTGGGGGAAAAATAAATAAATAAAATTATTAAAAAAAAAAAAAAAAAACAACTACGACTCCCCTTGGCCCCTTGAGTAACGGCTCCCTCCGGCGCCCTGAAGAAGGCGACTTAGTGTTTCTAGAATTGTGGTCAAACTACGCGAACAAATTCTGAGGCAGTAGCTGCCCTTGCCCAAGGAAAGACACTTAACAACCCTGAGCTGAGGTTGGACGTGGGTGAGAGGGAGGATGGGGCGGTGGTGGGAACTACAACTCCCAGCAGCGCCTGCGGGCTCCCGGAGACAGTTGCAAAAGAATGGGTCCCGTCCTGTCCCGCCCCCACCCCCGACCCCCTAGTCTCCTGCTTGACTGTTAGAGACACCAGGAGGGATACTGTCTCTCCCAGCAGTCTGTGGGACTGGTCCAATTGCTGGTTGGATGTCCTTCTTCTCTTCTGTTGTCTCTTTAATTTCGTCTCTGACTTGCTGATTTCTGTGGCTCTTTGCCAATATCACTCTGTCCTTCTCTCTTTATCTCTGGGCCTCCATCCTCCCCTCCCTGGGTCTCTGTCTCCCTCTCTCTCGGTCTCTGTCCCTTTCCCCATGTCTCTGTCCTCCTCTCTGTCTGGGTCACCATCCCCCTCTCTCTGGCTCCATGTTCTCACCCCACCCCAACCCCTGCCGGTCTCTGCCCTCCTCTTTCTCTATATCATTCCTTTCTCTCCCTGTCTCTGTTCATCTCTGTGCTCCCTGCTGTCTATCTTTGGCCCCTCACTTTTCGCTGCAGCCTCGTGTGACCCCAGAGGGTGAGTACATCCCGCTGGACCACCAGGATGTGGACGTGGGCTTTGATGGTGGCACCGATCGCATCTTCCTCGTGTCTCCCATCACCATCGTGCACGAGATCGACTCTGCCAGTCCTCTGTATGAACTAGGACGTGCCGAGCTGGCCCGGGCCGACTTCGAGCTGGTGGTCATTCTCGAGGGCATGGTTGAGGCCACGGCTATGACCACACAGTGTCGCTCTTCCTACCTCCCTGGTGAGCTGCTCTGGGGCCATCGTTTTGAGCCAGTCCTCTTCCAGCGTGGCTCCCAGTATGAGGTCGACTATCGCCACTTCCATCGCACTTACGAGGTCCCAGGGACACCCGTCTGCAGCGCCAAGGAGCTGGATGAACGGGCAGAGCAGGCTTCCCACAGCCCCAAGTCTAGCTTCCCTGGCTCTCTGGCTGCATTTTGTTATGAAAATGAACTTGCTCTGAGCTGCTGCCAGGAGGAAGAAGAGGAAGAGGAAACCAAGGAGGGGGATGGGGCAGAGGCAGAAGATGAGGCTGCCAGCCCCCGAGTACTCACACCAACCCTGGCGCTGACCCTGCCCCCATGATGTGAGCTGGTGTCTCCCTATTTGTACTCCCTTCCCAGAGGTAGCAAGATGGAGAGATTTGGCCCTCTCCTGGGATGGGGGCAGGTATTTCCCAAGACCAACAGGCCTGCTGGATAAATTATTAGCTGGTGAAGCTCTGCCATGCCTAGTGGACCCACCACAGACATACTGGACCTTAATTCCTCTGCATTCCATGCTCCCTCTTGAGACCCCTTTGTCAGCCCGATTCCTGAGCCTCACCAGAGCTGAGGGATCCAGAATTCTGGACCACCCGAGAGGCAAGGACCGGTGGTTCCAGATTCCTCTATATGGCTGACTTGGGTTGTTGAGCAGGGTCAGGAATCAATGGTATAGACTGTCTCTGGGAGAGGAAGTTGGCAGTTCTTGAGCAGCAATAGAGATGGAGAGTTTGTAGCTCTGGATTGACCAAAGATTCAAGGGACTGTTGCTTCTAGACTCAGCCAACCAAGTAGCAAATCATTTTTTCTACACCACCTAAGGAGGGAAAGTTATGGAATGCCCCAAGAATTCAAGACTATCTTGATTGACCAATGACAAGGAATGTTGACTGCAAATCAACAAAAGACCTTGTGGTTCCAGAAAGCCCCAGAGTTGAGATTCTGTGAATCTAGATTGACCACAGAGACAAGCAGTGGTAATTCTAGAACAGGTTTGACCTAGGGAGTTGAACTACTCCAGAAACTAGAGTTATGTTTCTAGAATGCACAAAACAATGGTGAGTCTGTGGGTCTAGAAGGACTACAGTGACAGACTGGGAGTTCTTGATATTAGATCTCCAGACCACTGGCTGTAGAACATCGAAGCGAGGGGATAATCAATGCTTCTAAATGATCCACAGGTTTTTTTTTTTTAAGTGCCATTCTAGAATGTCCAAAGGAATCAGGATTCTGTGGCTCTAGATTGATCATAGAGTCAAAGAAGGAGTGGTGATCCTAGATATGTCTGAGATTGGCTGGTTCCAGTTTGCCCAGTGGAGTTGAGAATCTTGATGATTCCACATGACTTCTTTGTGGTTCTGTAATGCCAAAGGAATCAAGGCTCCAGGGATCCAGAGTTGTCCATTATCAAAACCTGGAAGTTCTAATCAGCTCCTAGAACTTGGCAGTTCTAGGAGGTGGACTCAGGACTCGATAGGCAGCATTTCTGGGCTGACCTAGAAGGTGTGGGTAACAGGGCTACTTATTGGGCAAGGGAAGGGAGAGGCCCAAGGCTGGTGAGTCTGCAATCCTCTGGAATTCTACACCTAGCAATGTGTGTCTATTTCTTAAAGATGTTATACATACATGTATTATATATATATATAATATAAATACAGATATCTATCTATTTTTTCCCGTGGTTCCTACAGAAGGATTAGAAATTGAGCTTGAGCTAATTGGAATAAGATCCTTTACCAGGATCCAGGAAGCTTTGCTCTAAATCCCAACTCTGTTCTAACTTACTGTGTGACTTTGGGCACATCACTCCCCTCGCTTTGCCTCAGTTTCCCCATCTGTACAAATGGGGCATTGGAACTTGAAGGTCTCCAAGGGCCTTTCCACCAGGATGATTCCCCACTTCACTGAGGGTGAGGGTCCTGGGATTCTCCAGATCTCGCTGATGCTGGAAAGCTCGGCTTTCGAGGGGCAACTGGGATGGGAGATGATCTTGGAGGCCAGCTCTGAACCTGGGTGTCTGAATCACAGGGCAGGCTAGGGGTAGTATGGGCTGTGGCTAAGGGCCAGAATCACGGCCTTCCTGGTCCAGCTTGGGGGTCAGGGGAAAGAGCAGGTAGCTCTGAATGCCAGGGGAAAGGTTGTGTTTAGGGATTAAATCACTGGGAGCCCTGGTGGTGTGTCTGTGAGTGTGTTTCTGGGGCACGGGTCCATACTGCCATCTACCTAAGTGCCCAGCAGGCTGGGAGCCAGCCGCAGAAGGAGCCAGTGCCAGGGGGAGGACATGTTCCCATCTCTGTGTCCCAACACTGAGGGCAGGCACCGTCATTGCCCATTAGCCTAAGTGCTGCATCACGCCAGGTCCCCCCTTCTGGCTTCCATCTCCCTTTATCCTTCAGAATCCCCACGTAATCACCGGATGGGATTAATTAGCTGCTGCTCTCCCAGCTCAGGGTGTCCAGGGTAGGGACTGGGGGCAGTGGAACCACAGGGGTGGAGGAGGATGTTAAGTTGGGGATGAAGGGGCAGGAAAAGGGTTCTGTTTGGAAGGAGGGAGAGTGGGGGCACGGCGGGCACAGGCTGGGCTTCCACCGGGGAGGGCAGAACCTGGGCCACTCATAAAGGTCAGTGAGGGGATTAGGAAGCTCCCTGTCTAATCTGTCAGCTTAACCAGGTCCCAGCCCCGAATCCGTCCCCACCTGCGAGCCCAGGGACGGCGACTGAGGACGAGGCCCAGACACCACCTCAGACCCAATTAGGGACCTGCCCGTGACAGGGGTGCCCAGGTTCTCCATCGCAGCCGAGCCCCTGCACCCGCTTTGCCTGCAAGAAATGGGAATAAGAGGCTGGAGAGGGGGAAGGGCCTCAGATGCGGGAGGCCTCCGAGAGGAGGGAGGAGTTTATGAAGAGCGAGAGTATGAGAGGTGGAGGAGTGAAGTGGGGCGAGTCGGAGAGGAGGGAAAAGACTCTGAGAAGGGGGAAGGAATCAGAGGTGGGAGGCTGCTGAGGAAAAGGGAGTTGTCCTTGGGGGATGCTAAGGTTAGGGGAGGAGTTTGGGGCAGAGGGAGGAGCCTGAGAGGCAGACCGCGCCAGGAAGTCGGAGCCTGTGCTTTCACTATATTTGGCCTTCTACCGTCCCATTCTCCATGACAGACGCCAAAGAGCATAGCATTTGGGAGAAAGAATAAGTCTTTTGTTTCACCACTCCTTGACTCCGAAGAGGCTAAGGTGGATGGGATCAGGGGACGGGGTAACAAAAGGGTCTGAATAACAGAGGGGCCAGTGCCAGGAGGAAGGAGGCCAAAAGAAAGGTGAGCCAAAGCTGCTCCCGGTTGCGTGGCAACCGCTGCGGTCAAAAGCCAGCTGGGCCTGCTAGGAGGTGTGGCTCACGGAAACAACCGGCTGTTGTGGTCCCGCCCCCTGGCAACAAGACTAACAAAGTACCGCCCCCCAGCAACGTATTGCTAGACGTGGGGCTCGGTTCAATTAGTATCCTAGAGCTCGGAGCCCTTGCGCAGGCGCAGTCCTCTCTGCTGCCGCATACGTCTCTCCATGCCATTCTTTTCCAAGGCTTCTCATTGGCGGGCAAGCCAGCCAAGTGCCTTCTTTTGTTTCGGAGGCGGGGCCTGGCGTTCTGCCCGCGCTCCGATTGGCCCCACAGACCGTCTACCTCCGGCCGGACTTTGCTACGTCTGCTCCTTGTGCGCCTATTGGCCCTGGAGGACGATCCTTCAGCGTCGGGGGCGGAGCAGACGAGAGGGCCCGCCGTGGATTGGACGGTGTCAAAACGAGGGGCGGTCCCGACTGGCGGGGCGGTCGGGAGGCGAAGGGAGAGTCTTTTCAGCGCTGAGGACTGGCGCTGAGGAGGCGGCGGTGGCTCCCGGGGCGTTTGAGCGGGCTCACCCGAGCCCGCGGGCCAACGCGGATCCAGGCCCGACCGGCGGGACCGCCCCGGACTCCCCGCGGGCCTTCCTAGCCGCCATGGAGGACGGTGTCTATGGTAGGTCGCGGAGGGGCGGGGCCGGCTGGGAGCGGATGGAGCGTTCCGTCCCGAACGTTCCGCCGCGAACGTGCCTGCCGGCGTGCGCGGCGTGCCGTCTCTCGGCCCCGTCGTCGCGTCGCCTTTGTGGGGCGCGGGACGGGCTTCCGGCGGGGCCCGAGAGCGGGGCGTTCCAGGCCATTGTTTGGGCCGAGCCTGTTTCCGGTGGCGGCGGGAGGGGGCGGGATGGAGCGGCGGAGGCGAGGCCGGGGCGGACCCATTCCCGCTGGAGGGGCCGGGCGAGCCCGGGGCCTGCCGGGAGCGGGGAGGGGGGTTCGGGGGGCGGGGAGAAATCTTGGGGGCTGCAGAGATCCCGCTGAGGCGGGGGCCGTCGATGCCCCGCCCCCTTCCCCAACTCTTCCAAGCTGTCACCCGCTTTTCCTGCCGTAGTTACTTTTCCTGGTCCCGGGAGTCAGGACACCCCGGCCCCCAGCCACCTCGCCGGGAATGGAGGCAGAAAACCCGGGCCTCAGTCCCCTTCCAAGTAATGGACCCAGCAGTTCGGGCTTCCAGCCCTTTCTTTCCCCAGACCCAAGAGTTCAGGCTCCCAGTCCCCTTGTCCCTTAGACTGAGGAGTCCGGATCCCAAGCCCCCTCCTCTCCCAGCCCAGGACTCAAGAGGCTAGATCCCAGCCCTTCCTCCCCTGGACTGAGGAATCCAGGCCCCCAGCCCCCAGCAGACATAGGAGGCCCGACCCTCATCCTCATCTTCCCCCTGAATCTAGGAGTCCTGTCCCCCTCCCCCAGCTGTGGCCTCCCCACATTGCAGGATGCCAGGCTCCCAGTCCCGCAAAACTGACCTCCAACCCCTGATCCCGCCCCCCAGAGCCCCCAGACCTGACTCCGGAGGAGCGGATGGAGCTGGAGAACATCCGGCGGCGGAAGCAGGAGCTGCTGGTGGAGATCCAGCGCCTGCGGGAGGAGCTCAGCGAAGCCATGAGCGAGGTGGAGGGTCTGGAGGCCAATGAGGGCAGGTGAGGGCTGGGGCAGGGAACTTGGGGGTCATGAGATCTGGCCGGGGCTGGGGATGCCAAGGCATTGACCTTCCGTCCCCCCGCTCTCTGCCCCTGCAGTAAGACCTTGCAACGGAACCGGAAGATGGCAATGGGCAGAAAGAAGTTCAACATGGACCCCAAAAAGGTGCTGGGGGCACAGGGCTGGGGTGAGCCACGCAGACATCCAGACAGGAGGTTTTGGCGTCTCCAGGTTCCAGAAGTGTGATAGTTAAAGATTTACATTAGGTGGACACACTTGGTTCTAATCCCTGGGTTCAGATAGTGGCTGTCCGTTTGCTCTCAGGACACTAACCTTTGCCTGTGCTGTGTCCTCTGCCTGGGGGGTCCTCTTCTCCTTTCTGTTCATAGTCCTGGACCCACTTCTGGTGTCTCTTAGAGCCCCAGGAGGAGCTTGAGTCTGGTAGGGAACATAGACAGTGACCTGCACTAAGGGTTGACAAGTGCTGGGACAGAGGGAGGTCCTGGGGGCTGTGGACACTCAGAGGAGGGAGCCTGGTGGAGTCAGGGAGGGCGTCCCCGAGGAGGGGACATTCAGGTCAGGTTTGAAGGATGAGTCAGTGTTCACCAGGTGGAGGAAAGATGTTTGTGCATTCAGTCATTCATTTATACCCATTTCCTAAGGCTTCCCCTGGGCCTGCCCCTCTGCTGGGGAATGCTGGGGACCCAGAGAAGAGTTTGACCCTACCTTGCCCTCAGGGAACCCCTAGACGCAGATACCACAATCCAGAGTGAGAGATAGCTATAATGGAGGTCCTCATGGCGTAGGGAGAGCCAGAGAAGACTCTGGTCCAGCCCGAGGCTTGGCCCTCACAGCCCTTGATGGACTG